GTATTTTAGTTATATATATATATATATATATATATATATATATATATATATGAGAAAATTGAAATAGATATCCAAACAGGTTTGATTTGTTATTTATTCGGAATTAAAAAAGGAATTGTTTGGGCAATTTGGGATTGCTTGTGAACTTCACAAGCCTCATGGTCGAAGTGATCATGGCGACAACACTAATGTCGTAAAAATAAGGTAGATTGTAGAATTTTTACTTATGATCTTATATAAGGTCGAGTTGTGTATTTATTTTAGAACTCTAATTATGATTAGACATGTTCGATCAAATTACATGCCACATGACAGTTGAAGATATGTTTGATGCAATAAACATGCAAAGCAAGGAAACGACTACCTTGTTTAAGACAAATTGAAGGATAAGGCATTCGAAATTCAATAGATACATCTAAATATAAACTAGAGTCCTATTGTCCTCTCCCTTCAATCTAATTTAAAATGGAATAGATATATCATAAAATACTGGCGTGGCATAGGGAGTGCACACACTCTCTTGAATGCAAGTTATGAGTGAATAAATTGGACGGATGTCATTTTTCAATTGATAACCTTATAAGTAATTATGATACATTTTTATTGTTAAAACTTAAATATATTTAATTATTTTCATTTCTTTATTTGTAAAATATTTTTTAAAAGATTACTTTCTCACCTTAAAATTTTTTACTCTTACTTTCATTAAGTTCTTATCTTTTAACTTTTAACTATTTTACAAAAATTATCTGTATTTTTCTAAAAAATTGAAGTATCCTTAAATGTTTGCTTTTAATTTTTCTTTATGTTTTATTTAATTTTCTTTACTTATTTTGATGTTAGTTCGAAATGAACTTATTTCAAATACAAGGTATATTGAAATCAAATCAAAAGAAAAGATAAAAGAAAATATAAAGAGTAAATAAAAATAAAAGAGAAAAAAATAATAAATAAAGGAAAAAAAGTTTAGATAAAAGGTTAAAAAAAATATGTGTATTAAATCAATTTAAATACAAAATAAAGAAAATAAGAATATTTTTCAAAAAGTTGTTGAAAAAAATATGTGTATTAAATCAATTTAGACACGTGACATGTGCATGTGTAAAAACACTCCAAACCTAGGTGGTTGGAGGTGTCATGTCAGCATAAGGTGTATAAAATATAAAAAAAAATGGGTTCAAGGATGATAAAATTCTAGTTAAGTTTAGATTTTTTTGTGTATTTTTGATCATAATCTAAAAAATACTTGTGGCTTACGGATTTGATGAAAACTTCCCTCTTCTCATGAAGCTTTCAAGATAATAGGATTTGCATGTTCAATATCTCTATATCACTATATATCATATAAAAGTTGGAGTTTCTTTATCATTGTCAATTTCTCTTGCAAAATTCGATGCTTTCACATGTTCAATATCTTGATGTATGTTGTATGGTTCACTTTTTTAGTCCGAAAGAGAAACACGAGAAATTATTAAAAGGGAAGAATCTATTGTCACTTATTGATTGTGAATAATTCATATATGATCTTAAAAGTTATTAACTAAAAAAATAAAGAATAGTATGAAGAATTATGATAATGGATTCAAGAAGACGACTTTAATCGAAATCAAAACCAAACGAAAACGTAAAAATAGAACCAATACATTGTTAATAAAGCACATAGAGTTGAGAAAGCAACATGGGTTGTATTGTTCATCGAAAAAGTTCTTGTTCACATTAATTCCTAAAAATACAACAAGAAGTTACCAACATTAATTTTAGCCGACTTCAGGACTGGTTTTTCACGTAATAAAAATTCATCAACATTAATTCAAAAAAAAAAGAAAAAAAAAAGAACTACCAATATTAGCAAAATCCCAACAACCTAACCATATAACCAACAAGATTTCATTTTAGAATTCTACATCATCTTGGCCTGAATTTGCTGACAATATTTTCTCAGCTACTTTTTGTCTATTTTGAAGCTTACCCTGAAACATAATGTCATAATTCATAACATAAATTATGAATTAAAACAAAGAAATTATAACCAGTATTCTTGTTCCATATATTTCTAACGACCTATCAACATTAATTCTCCATATGTTTGATGTCTCCTTAATTTTTCAAAATTATAGTCAATATTATAAAGATAATGAAATGATAATCTGAGAAAAATAGTAAATAAAAGTCTTATATTACAGTGTAATGAAGTGCAAAAAGTTCAATCAACATTTCTAACGAGCTTCATACTTTTAATGTAGTATAGAATGCAGAAGATAGATGATAATTATGGTTAAAACAAAATTAAACACATGAGAAATGAGAAAACAAAGCAGAAGTACGAAATCACGACTCACTCTGATGAGATATGGATAAAATGGGAGACGTTTGTTTTTAACACATTTACATAGTTTAGATTCAAATTCAGCAAAAAAAGAGATGTTACCTACAGTTTCCCCAGAGGTGCTTACCTAACATAACCACATTTCTGTTCATATTGGTAGGTGTGGTGTAAATGCAAAACATGGTAAAACAGATTTTCACTCTATCTATTCAGATTTCTCCAAGTTGAAGTTGATGGAAATAAATTTTCATTTCCACAATCTGATTAAATTATTGTCAATGGCAGAAGCTACTACACCAGTGGGCTGTGACGCGGCTAAACTATTCACAGGTTCTTCCAGCACAATCATCATCTTGTTCTCAGCCATATGCCAAAACTCCAGGCACTAGAACGTACACAAGTTAAATCATATCATTACAGAAGTCCATAAATCACAAGGCAAAGACTTGAAAATGTAATGAACATGCATGCATGCAGTGTTGAAACAATCAACTTGGCATATAAACTGTGAACCTTCCTGCATTTATGTAATAGTAACCCAATGGAGCAACTCATAGAATTGATGACATGAAAGAAAAAAGCTACTTGCCTGATCTGAACCAACCACTAATACAGAAGGGTAACAAGGATGAAATGTGCAGCAATGAAATCTTTTGCCTGTTACGCTTCGCTCATGCATGCACTCTTGCTCTCCACTAGAGCCAATCTTCCAGACTTTTACCGTATCTTCACTAACTGAAGCTAGATACTCACCAGAGCTGCTCCAGCATATACCCCGGATGATAGAGAAGTGACCCTGCAAAGATGCCCCCGAGAAAAAGTTCATTACAACTCGAACAACGTCGTAATAATCACTAAGAAGGTGCAACTTGCCGATAGGATACAACAAGTAAAGACATAATGCAAAACGAGAGAAGTACTAAAATTGTGCTCATCACTTACTCTAATATCATTTGACAGGTTTCACTACATTACGACAACACAGAAGCTAACACTCCTAGGTAAACTCTATCGTTTGTGAGCCCATGAATAGAGTCAGATATTCAGGTGTCCAAAATGATCAAATCACAGGTTCAAGTCTTAAGTTCGTTATAATCTGAGCTATTTAGGGGAGAACTAAAGAGGAAACCTTCACTCGGCTTTCTTCCTTGCCTGTCATATGCAATGTGTTTGGTTCAACTAATTACAAAAAGAGAAAAGACAGTGTGGGGCAAATAGAATGTTGGACAAGTGGTTGTCCAACCAAATAATATTACATCAGTTTCTGGAGATAAAAAAAGATCACATAACATCAGCATAGGTGAATGTAGGGAAGACTTGAAGATCCAATCTGAGATAGAATTTTAAAAACTTAGAATCAAGATATGAAAAATGTATTTAATTTTTATATTTTTAAGCTAAAGATTAAACAAAAGGATTCACAAATAAAACTGCTAATGCTACAACCAGTCCATAAATTGTTAAAGCTTCCATAGAAACTAGACTAATAGTGTACCACCCGCAGTCTGTTCAGGGTTTAAAACTCAAGGAATGCAACCAAACATGAGTGTTGCACCTCGTTACAAGACATAACCCAACACCCTACGGCATGAACTAACCACAGTCATGCACTAATAATTTCAACAACTTAGTGAAAGGAATATTGTACGAAAAATTGCCCAACCTTCAGAGGATAACTACAGATTTGGGTAGTCTCCACATCAAATAACAATACACCATCCGCATCAGCAGCAGCAAGATACTTCCCAAGATTAGGCTGAAACCTAACTTGAGTTGCACGAACCTGAAAATTTTGGAGCTGATAAGTCGTGACGTAAATAAAGATTCTATTACTGAAATAGGGACCAGAAATATCATTATTTTGCAGCTTAACCTACTAGTTTGAGTTATCAAATATAGGTTTACTAATACCTTTGACACTCCTGCACAACCACCATTCTTAATGCTCCAGTATCGGATCGTACTAACATTATCACAAGAACAGATGAGGTCCTCCTTGGTAGGATGAAAGTCAAGTGATATAACGGAGGCAGAATGGCCAGTAAAACTTCGTATTGAGTGGTCTGGCTGCAAGATACAACAAACTCTAGTTTTGGCAGGCTGGAACTCTACTTGCCAAAATTCATCAAAACAAATTAATCTAAGTGCACGTACAGATAATTTGACGGGTGTTCTGTCAAAGAAAAAATTCGTAAAGCTAGAAGTCAGGAGTTCACCATCAACAGTCTTCAAACAAGTTGGGGTGAACAAACACAATTGCTAATTCATCTTAGAAGGATCATTGAAAGAACGGAAATGGGTCAAAAATACCTTTAAACCATGTGAAATAGAAACAAAATGTCCTCCGTAAATAGTTGCTCCAAAAATGTCCCTGTTGTTAATAATTTGGCCAAAAATGTCTCTATTGATACTTAGAGAACCTTATTCTTTTGAAATCCGTTTAACTAATTAGAAAATAAAGTTGCAACTTATCTTTTTTTTCATCTCAATATCGTTTTATCAATTAAAATAGAATAACCTCATGTACTTTTTAGACTGATAATATAGGTCATATATATAAGATCATAGTAACCACATCATTAATTTTCATTTATATAATGATTCGTTTTTCTTGATAAATAGGAAACATTTTTCTAATTTTAAATTTTTCCAAATTTAAGTAGAATAAGCATTAGCTTACATATTTCTTGGTTCGAAACTTGAAACAGAAAGTAGCTCAACAATAAATTCATCAACGATATTTTAACAATATTTGTAATTTGAAAAACTGTAATTACTTTTTGTTTGTTAAGTTATTCTGATTGATGTATCTTTACTTTAAAATCAATGATTATTATTAAGAAATGTTTATCCTTCTTAAATTCAGAAAAAGTAAAGAAATAAAAACATTTCTTATGTTATTAGAAAAAAGAATATTATTGTTGTATAAATGAAATTAATGATGGATTACTATGATCCAACATGTATGGCCTATATTATATGTTAAAAAGGTATATGGTCAAAATTCTGGGAGAAAGGTCCATTTGAATGTAGATGAAAGAGAGGAAGGTTGTACACTTCGGCATTCTTTGAAATACAGATGCAAAATAATGGATCTCTGTAGTTTCAGCTACACTGATTTGTACAAAATCTGAATTCACATCTACACTGAGTTTGAGCATAAAATTTCTACACAACACGCAATGATTCACCTTAGAGTTCAGGATGGAAGAGTAATATCCTATCCTCCTAGTAATGAACACATAAAATGACTTACATTATGAACATCCCAAATTTTGATTGTCTTATCAAGGGAAGATGAAGCAAGACGCGGTAATCTTGGACCAAAGCGAACATCTGTTATTGCATCAGAATGCCCCTCAAGTATATGCTTTTGTGCTCTTGAATCTGTGCACCATAGTACAACCTACACCAGAACACATCAGAAATAATAATAACTAAAGAGACCTGAATACAGAGTTCAAGAATACAACTCCTTGTTTCACTGCTTTTCAGTCTGTATCGAGTACAAAACAATTTATCATCTCAAGATCCTGTATCAATACCTCTTTATCCCCGCCAGTTGCTATCAGCTTTCCATCAGATGAAAAGTTGCAGCAATTAACTGCACTGGAATGAAAACTCCCAATTTCCAAGACCGTAATATCTTTATTGCAAAAAAAAAATGTAAATAGCTAGAGTGGCAAGTGTCCCATCAAGAAAAAGCCAGTATAAAGAAGTCAGTGTCAGTTAAAACCTTTACTGGTGCCTAAGCGCCTAGGGATTATGCTTTCAGTATCTGCATTGTCAGAAAGGAAGGACTCGGCAGAGTTGTTTGCAAACATGTGGTTTATAAGAGGAACATCAACCTGCATCCCCACACATATTTGATTAGTGTGACTATGCATCAATAGAACCATCTCTTAATTAGGAGAAAGAAAGAGAACATTTGATTGATATCCTTTTGATAAAATAGTAGCAGCCAGTTTAAATCCTTCGCTTGTTTTGGAAGCACTAACCAAACATTCCATGCGCAGATTCACTTTTGTATTGAAGAAAGTTTGCGTTATCTTTCTCCTGGTGTGTGAAATCAGTTGAGTTAAGATATCAAGTAATACTTCGCATGAAAATTGAACACCAAAAATTGATATAACCCATAGTTGGATTAGCATTTCCTTTGTACCAAATTCACTTCTCACAGCATATCTGTCTACAATGTCTCACATTACAAAAAAAAAGTAACAATAAAAGAGAGACAGCCAAATATTTCTCAATGCAATACTACTTTTGTGGCATCAATTTAGGAAAATCATAGTAAACCCCTTCCCTAGCATATTATCCTAATTTGACATATTGATTAATATTATTATATCAGTTAAATAATTGGAAATGAAGGACCAACTTGTTAATTGGATCCTTGTTTCACGGAATCCTCAATAAATTGTAAGTATAGGGACAGTAATCCTTACCGTTTGAGTTGATACCAATGTAGCTGAGTAAACAACATCATTGCCATACACACAACCTTTAGAAAAATTATCATCATGAAGCAATGCAGGCATTGATATCACATCTTCTGCAATGGATATAGATGGTGTAGAAGGCGCTGAACTTGGTAACAGACTAATGTTGTACGCAGTTCCTATGCTGTTAATCTGACCTGATGACGTTAACTGCTTCCTCTTTCTTGTACCATATTTCTTTGAATTAAACATGGACAATGAAATTCAATGAGGACAAGAAAGTACAAGGACAAATATATACCCTTCTCTATACTTGTGCATATGTAAGAATATGATGGGTTGTCATGTCAGATAACAGCAAAAATATATATCAGAAATGACATCACTTGACTAAGTAATACAAAAATTTTACCAAGAATAATAGAAGTAGGAAACCAAGGAAAGAAAGAGCAAAGACACTCTCCAAATATTACTACTGATGTGAACTCAAGGAAATTTGATTATGAAGCTAATGTGTAAGTCTTAAATCTCATAGAGCTCTTTGTTTTTCACAATTGGTATAAATCTCATAGAACTCTTATTGGAATTTGATAAGCATCTCACATTTGTAAAGATAATGGGTTATTGTTCTCCTTAAATGGTCTTGGAGAATCCTAACTGCATGAGCGCATTTGAGGTTTAGTTAGGTCCAAGATTCATTTTCTTATTATGGTAACAGAGTTGTTGGAGTCCCACATAGGTGAGTTAAAGGTATTTGGTCTCTCTATATGGTCTTGAGGATGATTTTGGATTGAGTTTTTATAGTCCATTTTTAGCTTATAGGATTTTCATCTTCCATGCTCCAGATAACTAAACTTGGTAGAAAAATGTTCTCACATCGGTTATGAAATGGGTTGTTGACTCCGTTTATAATCTTGATCAATACCTACCTCATGAGCTATCTTTTGGGATTGAGTTAGGTTCAATGTCCATTTTCTTATCTGAATTTATATTGGGTGGTCGACACTTGTACAATCAGCTACCCCATCGAAAGTAAAGAGTTACAAGAAGCAGGAAGAAAACCACTACATTTTCAACCAGTTGTTTTCATTCTTTAAGGCTTACTCTGCTGGGTAAAGTAGAAATGTTTGGAATTCGTCATGGCACTAATTACTTCAACGTTGTAGGAATAATTGATCAATGATAAAAAAAAAATTAAAAGATGGATGAAAGAGCAAAGATATATTTATAAAAAGCTAATAGTATGAGTTGAACTGAAAGAAAAAATATAACAGAAATTCACGAAGTGCACATTGGAAATTAAATGGGGAGAGGGGTGCAGGGTTTGCAGGAATGTAAGAAATTCAAAATGCATTACCCATAACAAGCGCAGCTATTATTCTTATATGAACAACTTATCAACAGCTCTAGTGCACTGGACATATAAGGGGTCTGAGGTCAAAGCTAACCTGATCATCACCTCTAAAGGTGTTGGACAAGCTAACATCCATGGTTGTGCTTCCAGTAGCAACACTCTTATCTTGCTGTTGGCTGCTGGAACTTGAATTTTTTGGATGCTTGCAAAACAAAGCAGGCTGTTGACCTTGTTCCAGACTTTGATTGATGTTCTGCACTTCCTGCATAAACTAGTCATTTTTTTAATACTTCTTTACAAGAATAGATAGTCTTTCAAAAGACATCAAATGCAAAGTATATCAAGTATAAACTGGCACCTTCATTTGCATAGCTGAATCTGAACAAGAGAAAAGCGGGAGATCCACTTGAACTGGCAAATTTCTGTCCACAACTATGTTCGCAGTGAAGTTTGATTGGTCACCTTGACTTATATCCATATACTGGTCACTAAGAAACATTAGAATTTGTTGTTGTAGCTGCTGTTGGGAGGGATGAGACAGGTGGATTGTAGAGCTTTTCTGCTGAATTAGTCCAGATTGAAGCTGTTCCAATCCCTATATATGGGAAGATTAGTCAATGTATAGAAAATACTCCGTCTCATAGTCAATTCTAGACTGGTTCTAAGCAAATAACCAATTATAAATGACAACTAAAAGAAGCAGAAAAAAAGGTTCCCATTTTCTGTTTGACTGCTTCTGGTTCAAATAATATTTTAGGGTACGCACATAATTATACTCGCTAAGTTCAACTACAAATGAAAGCTCAAAGAAGCAGGCCAATTGTGCTTTCATTTTCATCTGAATGCTCCTGATCCTCTCATGGTTCATAAAACGTTTAGGGGGCTGAACAGATTACACCCATTAGAGTCTTCAGTTGAAAATTGACTATGACTACAGATGAAAATATATGCGTTTGTACATTAAAATAAATACTTTCTCATTATTCGGAAAAAAACATATCTTTCGGATCAAGTAATACCACTGCTCCTCTGGAAACACTTAACATATGCTCATATTCAACATCCAGAGGATATAGACCAATCAGAAGGTAACTATTAATGGATATAATATTTGTTAGTTTCCAACTTTCTAGTTTTCTTCTGATTCATTATTATCTAGTTAGTCTTTGGTTTATTTAGAACTTTCAGTAGTTTCCTGTATTCTAGCTTTCTTCTGCACTGATCTTATCATATTAATTTATGCCAACTTTCATGTTTTGAGTTCAGCAAACTTCTATACAAAGAGCATGTTGTTCATGGATAAAATATCATACTTCTCTTCCACATCTCAAACCTTTATATGGTATCAAGCGCTTTTTTTCTCCTTGTTACCCACTAGCACAAATGGCACTCTTTGTTACCAATTCCAGTCACCAAATACCACCACCATTGTTCAATTCAACTCAGTTACCTAGCCTTTGATCAACTTGCTGGCAGACAACTTATTCTCTCCCCCTGGAAGGCACAAATGTCCATTCTCATGATAGGACAGGACACAATGTTTATGGATGTAGATGGGACTATTACTGCTCCCATCCAGACCACCACAGAAAACAACCAGACAATTGCCAACCTTGATTACATTAATTGGTTTCACTTTCATCAGGACTAGTTGATACAAAATGCCATTTTAGAGTCAGTATACCCAACTCTTGCTGCCACTGTACCCGATGCAACCACCGCCAAAGCAACATGAGATTCCCTCCACACTGCTTATGCCAATAAGTTACAAACTCTCATAGTGAGCTTGCGAGATCACCTTGCACATCTCACAAAAGAGAGCCGTCCTGTAATGGACTACCTCAACCAAGTTTGACTCTCTGCAATGAACTGGCGACTGCAGGAGGTCCTGTAACCAACACCGTACTCACTGTCAAAATTCTCATCTTTTGAACCAGAACATCGAGAAATATCAGCAGCAATTCGAGCACATCCTACTGTTTGAAAAGCTTACTGACCACGAGCTTTTCCTCAAACACAATGCTCTAACTCACACCCTCCACCAGAATTATTGTTGTTGCTCACACACCAACTGTCAAACAAGGACCAACGCCACCAACAACAATAGGTCTATACAGGGGCTACACACATGCCAAAAGTCTCACAACCATTAGAGACTAGAATGGTCCAGAATAAATCACAATGGGAAATGGTAACACCATACCAATATCTCACACCGGTAACCCAGATATATATGCATGTAATTCTCACTTTCAATCATCCAATATCCTTTGCTCCCCTTCCATTGCCAACAATTTCTCAATTCTATCGTAACAATGCTTGGACTCGGGTGCGGATATATAATACGGGTGCAGATCTAGAGGTTGGATCCTTCATGATCTAGTTTTTAAGATTAGGGGATATGGATCCATGTATGGATACGGGTGGAGGAATTCACCTAAAAATAATTAAAATATTTACAAATAGAATTAAAAAACCTAAATTATGAGTTATTATGTGGAGAACTTGAGGAGAATCATGGATGGAGATTAAAAGAAAAGGAGTGACATAGAAATTTCTACATAAATGGTATTCCATTTTCTTCAATTTCACCTTAGCTTTTGTATTGATTACATAAATCATTAAAATTGTCCAGATTTTCCACATCGATTTTGGTCAAAGTACCCAAAATCAGTAGACCAAAATCGTACACGGCTCCCACATCCACACCCACACCCATGTAGTGTCGACACGGGTGCGGCACCAAAAGTGAAGAGTCCAAGCAACTTAGCATTGAATTCTTTCATTATATTATCTTGTGAAGATCTCAGTATGGGGGCCACCAGTTCAACGGTGGAGAGAGGATGCTTTATGAATGGCCAGCAGACAATCAAGTGTGTTTAGATCTGTGGCATCAGCGTTTGTGTTGTCAACCTTTGGAAATTACCAAACTCTTGGACCTCCAAAAAGCAAAAGTCTGTCTAACCCTTATTCAAGGAAGCTAAGTATCGATCTATTGCTGCTTCTGTTTATGAAGTCAATTGGCTCACGAATTTGCAAAATGAGCTTCACTTTTCACTAGTCTTCTCCACCAGTAGTTCTCTGTGACAATATTATCACAACCTACATTTGTGCTAATCCAGTCTTTCGCAGTAGGATGAAGCATGTAGCTACTGATTTCAATTTTGTTTGTCAGCAAGTTCAACAAAAAGCACTTGAGGTTCGTCACCTTCACTCTACTGATCAAGTCATTGACGACCTCACCAAGCCTCTCCTGCTTATAGCTTTTCTGCGCCATTTTCACACGTTGGGCTCATTCCTGTCACCCTCAACTTGCAGGAGCATATTAATGAGTAATATTTGTTATACTTCAGTTTAGAAGTCTGTTATTAGTTTCCTATTTTCTAGCTTTCTGCTGATACAATATATCTAGTCAGTTGTTTGATTTATTTAGGACATTCGGTAGTTTCCTATGTTCTAGTTCTATTGCAACTTGCACAGAATCTTATCACATTAGTTTGTTCCAAGTTTTATGCATTTCAGTTCTGTATCAACTCTATATAAAGAACATATATTTCATGTTCAAAATTATATTGCAGAAATATCTCAAACCTTTTAGAAATATCATAGGCTTTGAATATCTATGACAAAAATTGCAGTTTTCACTACTAGCACAAATATTCTCTTATGTGATACAATCAGGGAGTAAATTTCTAAAAGAATATGCATCATTTTATAAGTAAAAGAGCATATTCTAATTTCATTCTAGTAATAGATTCAATCATCTCTTTGTCACTTTCATATACCACAGAAGGTGAGAGTTGGACTTCTTTTGAGAAATGGTAAAGTATATTAGTAATATAGCACCAAGAAAGTACCGTCAGAAGCATTTACAATATACCAAAAACACATCCATTCCAATTTTAGAAGAGATTCTATAAGATATATCACTGCTTAGCCATCATTTACAAAGCACTGTTTAGTATTTACACCAAAAATAAAGAAACAATAAACAGTTCATTTTGATCTTCGGAATGGAGTTTCGGTTGTCTTAAAGCCTGAATATTTGACTTCTTTACCATTACATTTTGATGGATATTTGAGAAAGTACACATTATGACCTTACCATCAAGGGCCATCCTTTTAAAAGCAAACTGTTTACTCCATGATCTGATCCTGAACCAAATAAGAATGTGAATTAGTTTAAATGGGGCAGAGAGGGGGGCTAGACTGATAAACAACAAACAACTGTAAAAACAATGTAGAACAAACTCAAGATGAACAGTTAATAGTTAACTTGCGTTGGATGAATACCATCATGGTCAACCAATTTTTATTCACGTTAATCAGGAGTCAAATTTTCAAGAAAAAGTGCCATTAATTTTTCAGAAGAAATAGTAATAGTCTTTCATAATTTCATGCTACAATTGATCTTCACAATATCATTCTACAGTAGTAAAGTGGTCTACATAATGTTTACAGCACTCAATAAAGATTCTTACAGCATCATGGGAAATCCCCATTCAAAAGGATGATCTAGCTCGGCCAGGTACCATATTGACAAGTTTGATTATTGTTTGAAGTAAATTTGCTTTCATTAAAAGCCCTCAAAAAGAAAAATCACGTTTTCAAATGCTCATCACTTACACTAAGGCATTGAATTGCTAATTGTTAAGTGTTAATACCAGAAACTTCAGTGAGTACATTACCTGACTCAGCAGCTTTGAGACTCACAGCAGGAATTATCATATTTGTTAAGCTCTGGTCCAGCTTCAGACAATGGAAAAATTAAGCAGTTAGAGTGAAATGTTGCTATCAATTGCCTTTACACATTTTTTTAGTTGAAATGTTTGTTTTTATCAGCTTTCTTAGTATTTGGCTTATATATTTCTCTTTCTCTTTTCCTTTTATATTTGTCTTTCGGCAGGAGGAAGGTAGTTACTTGTGTAACTGGGAATTGATGAGCTTGATCAGCTAGTGGAGGATAAAATCTCAAATTATCACCAGGAAAACTGTGATGGGTTTGCCTGAAATAAAACAAACAATGACACAATGGTAAAGAGAAGTCCCGCCATGAAAACACCATCAGATAGGGCTCAAAAAACGTACCGCGAATGCTGGTCTCTAAAGGTTTCCGCTTTTGATATGCAGCTGTGATTTGCGTCTAAATGCTGATCAATATTATCACTATCCCTTGGATTTGTGGGTTTCTAGAGAAATAAAAATGACAAAAGTATGATTTAGACATGAAGGCTCAAAAATAAAGGCAGGAAAGAGAGAACTAGTACAGCAATTATTAAAAAAAAAATAGTTCTGAACACCTTATTGGCCACTGATATGAGAATTCTCTGGACTTGAGGGTTACTTTCGTACACCCTTTTGGTTAAAGCATTTGTTGTCCCTAGACTGTGTCTTGTCATAGCCTCATTCGTAGTCCCCCTCAAAAGCTGAGTACCATAACCTTGCAGTTGTTTTTGTTGGATAAGCTGTTGCATTTGATTTAGCCGTTGAGCTTGGACATCCTTGTGTTCCAATGTATTAATCATATGACCCTGCAAACCCAAAATCAGCTAAGTAGGTTAACTTTAAAACTTTGAAGAAACTGGCATCTGACAAATGAAAATAACAAACAAACAACAGCATACCCAGTGTAATCCCACAAGTGAGGTCTGGATAGTGTGTAGGCAGACCTTACCCCTACCTTGGGAGGTAAAGAGGTTGTTTCTGATAGATCAAAAACTAACAATAGTGAAGAAACCAAGGCAGGATACTAAACACAGCATGACAAAGCATACTGAATATGAACAATAACTACAACTAAATAATATGATAATCAAAGTACAAGGAACAATAACTAGTAAAAGAAATTGAAGAAGCAAGAAACTACAAAGAGTAATACTACTACTAGCATGGAAAGATAAGCTAGACAACACTCAACTACCTACTAAACTCCTACCCTTATTCATGTCCTCCATAATCTCCTATCTAAGGTCATGTCATCTTGACATATGTAAGCTGAAGCTACATCATGTCTTGTCTAATCACCTCTCCCCAATATTTCTTCGGCCTAACTTACCTCTACCAAAACATCCATTGAAAACCTCACACCTCTACACTGGGAAATCCATGCATTTCATATTCACATGTCCAAAGTAGCTCAGTCTCGCCTCCCGTATTTTTTCCTCCACGAATGCCTCTCAGCTTGCACCATATATCTTCATTTATAACCTTATTTGTCCTAGTATGCCTACACATCCAACTCAGTATCCTCATCTCCGCAAATTATATCGTCTAAACGTGAGAGCTCTTGACTAGGCAACACTCTACTTCATACGACATAGTCGGTCTAACCACCACTAGGTAGAACATTTCCTTAAGAATACGAAACTTCCTAAAAGAATGAACTGTATCAGCGAGAGAAATCACAACTTATTCATCGAGAAGCCACTCGTAAGAGTGACACACCGAATCTCTTTCACTCTCTCCCAAACCCTCATGGTGTGGTTTAGCAGCTTGATACCCCTATAGTTGTTGCAATTCAGGATATCCCCTTGTTCTTGCACAACGGCATCATTGTACTCTTCCTCTATTCTTCAGACATTTTTTTATCTATGAAATGTGATTAACCAACCTAGTTGGCCATTCTATACCTTGCTTGTGCTCTTCCAAAATTCCATCGGGTCCTATGCATCCTTCGAAACACACCCTTAAGCTTCTCAGTCTTTTTTTGAAAAAAAATGGCTTAAGCTTGTCAACCTTTGTACACCTACAATACCCAAAATCATGATGCCTCCCAATCTCCTAGCACAATATCTTTGTCCCCCTTTTTGTTAAAGAATCTACGGATATATGACAGTCACCTCTGTCTGATGAGTGTGTCTTCCACCAATACTCTGTCATCCTCATCCGATATACTACACTTGGTCCAGGACTCTGGCCCTCCTCTCTATCGCGCCTATCTATCTTTTTATCCGCACCTTGTCCTATAGTTCTACATACAAACATTCAAGAAAACTTAGCCTCTTCTTCGTCATCTTATGCCTTTCCATATTTGCCCGCTTTTCCTCCTCATCCTTACTCTCCATCAACTTTGTATACAACAATTTCTTTGATTCTACTTTCCCTTGGACGTCCTCATTCAGAAATTAATGGACACACATAAATAGGTGAAACAAGATGGTTAGGTGAAATAAGATTTAAGAAAATAAGAATCTGTAACACATTAAATCATACCACATTGTAAGATGCAGAAGTGCTTGAAAGAGGGGTCTTGAACCGAGCAATGAAAACATCCCAAAATACTGACCACCATTCAAGAAGAAAACCACCTGGAGCATCTATAGCTGAAAAACAAATGTTTATTTTGTGAACCAATTAAAGTAAAATTGGAAAAAGGCATTGACCAGAGTGGCATTTTTAAAGTTGTATTACCAACACGATTGGTGAGAAGTTGTGCTTCAACTTGAAATGTCCTAGCAGAAACACCAAATTTTCTCTTCAAAAGATAATCGTGTATATATACATCCAGCCTGTTATCATCAAAATATGAAGAAGATATATTACACACTTAAACAATATAGGTTTCAAAGGAAAACATGAGCATATGGCAAGATCAAGCCGTGCAAAAGCACTACATTTTCTGTTTAAACTAGTTTGTACGTGCAGAGAATTTCGTCCCTTTCCATTAGAGCAATAGTGCGGTTAGACATAAACCCACAAAGAAAGAAATCAATACAACACAATATACATTTAGAAGAAAGAGAAATTGAGGCCGTAACGGCTAAGAACCAGAACTAGATTCAACAATGGCCAAAAAACCCCACATGAAGGTGAGAACATGCACACATCCAAAAAACAAAAAGAAAAATGTATACCCCTTAGAAGAACACAAGGTCATTGATTTTTTCTCAAACAACACAAAATCTCACATTTTATCAGCTTCAATGTTGGAATGAGCCATGGTGCTACTCTGAAGAAGAATGAATGTCTGCTTGCTTTAGAAGGCATGTAACATTTTCACTCTGTGCACTGCACACTACCACTACCACACAAAACAAATAAAAAGGGGGAAAACAATCCATACTATAAGTTTATACTAACATGCAAACTCCCTTCAGAAAAAATGAACAAAAAAAATATCAAATTAATTGAGATTACAACTTTAATTAGTCGCTTAAATTCCGTGTGAAATTTTATAAGATACAAAATAAACTCCAATCCCGCTATTAGACCACTAAACTACATTAACACGTCACTAAATTAACTAGGAAACTTATTCGTTGCAGGTATAATTGTAATTTAAAATGATTTTTTTTTTATAAATTAAGAAGAATAAAAAGGAAATTCTATTTTGAATAGAGCCAAAATTTGTGTTTCCTCTTGAATAAAATAATTAAGAAAAGAAATAATTTATTCACATTAAGTTGACATCAGAGAAATTGATCAATTTTTTTTTTAAAAAAAAATTCACACAATAATGTTATAACATTTTTAAAAATCAAATTACCAAATTAAGATTTAAATAGCAATATCATGTCCAATTCCAATTAACTTTAATTCAAACACGATATCATTCATGAAGTAATTAACTATTATTTTAAAAAATAATCGAAAGAATTAAATAGACAATGTATAAATATTTACGAATTTTAATCAATTTCACGCAGATAAGGAAATTATAAATACGTTATTTATTGAAAAATCTACTTCTAAATTTTAAATTTATAATTTCATTTTAACATAAAAAAAACTATAATTCTTAATCTAAAGTAATCTTTCGAAAAAAATAGATCTTATTTTCCATTTCAATAAAAAGAATTCACCGAATTAATTAATTTCTTTAAATTAGGCATAATTCAAAATTTTCTTTTGTAGAAGTACAAAAAAAGATGCTCAAAAACCTATATACCAATGACTAATATTTTAAAATAAATAATGAAAAGAAAGTAAAAAGAACAAAGAAGGAAAGAAAAAAAAATTTAAGGAAAAAATTAATAGCATTAATGATGAGATTAAGGGGAAAAATTAATAGCATTATTGAAGAAATGATTTAAAATTTGGAAAAATGCAAAATAGATAGATTTTCAAGACAAATTTTTGAGCAATTATTTTTTCAAATATATATATATATACATATATATATTGTGAATGTCTAATTATTGCAGTCCTTGTAGGATATAGTTAGGAATCCTATTTGGGGACCAAGTAAGATTTTCCCTACAAATAAAGGGTTTCTTCATTGTAAAGAAGATTTGTGAAAGATCTATGAATCCTGAATATATTTCAAGAGAAATAAGAAGTCTTTTCTCTTCTCCCTACTTTCTTCTTCATCTAATTTCATATAGTTTCATAACACGTTATCAGCACAATTGTTTTATTCTTAAAAAATTGTGATAGAAGACGAGAAAAGTGTAAAAGAGATCTTACATTATGCAAAAAGGTTGCAATAAGGTTCTTATATCTTTAAGGTATAATTTATCTTTACGTTATAATTATTTATGTGACAAATCTGGAGTTACCATTTGGAGTAAGAATTTAAAGTTTTGTACGTTTAATTTAAACGGATGAGAAGAGAATTCCTTAATTTATTTTAATAATTGAATAAGCACAATTTAGTGAAAAATATGTTTTCAACCTTTATATGAGGTATGTGATCTATTAAGCTATATTTTTTAACTATTAATGTTGATTATAATAAATCAATAATCTCAATTTTGTGTGTAATTATAATGTACGATCATATTAATGGTCATCAAAAGTGGTAAAATTACAATTATATTGAAGGCTTGAAGTTGAGCCTCATTATGAGTAAGACGACAGATTTAAGTTTTATCGCACCAAAAGAATAAGACGATGGATTTACGTCCAATCGCACCAAGAGGGTAAGACATCAGAAGTCTTGATGCTTTGTGATGAAAGATGTTGGATTCAAGTCTCTCATTGATTTATGGCATAAGACGTTGGGTTTGAGTCTCAATGCACCATATTGATGATATTATGATGACTAAAGGAAATAATGAGTTTTTGATAAAATTAGTCATGAAATATATCTCGTTGAAGCAGATCCATTCCCCAAAGTGAATGTAGCAGTGCATAAAATGTCTAAAAGAAAATAATTGATTAAATGATGCACATGAATATGGAATGAGGTACTAAGTTATCAAAATTTGATGTACTTAGATGATTGTGTCCCATTCATGAAGAATGAGACCCTTTGATAAATGATAAAAATACAGATCCATTCTTTAGAGTGAATGAGGTGATAAGCCACCATGCTAGACGAGATTTTTCTTTTACTGCTTGTTAACGAGGCAAGTTAATTGTGAGACCATCATAAACGAAAGTTGAGATTGAATTCTCTGCGTTCTAGAAACGTATACAGATATTTGTGGACCTAGTCATCCACTTAGTGGATTGTTTAGATATTTAATGGTCCTAATAAATGTTTCTTCAATATGGTCTCATGTGTGCCTATTATTATCTCGCAACTTGATGTTTGCAAAAATATTGACACAAATAATATGTTACATGCACAATTTTCTTCAGATTAGTTCATTCAATGATGAAATCACGACTCACCTAAAGGGTAAAGTAATTGAGAAAAAATAAATCTAAAAACTACTCTTGGAGTAATAAAATTGAAACTTACTCATATAATAGTAAATCAGAAATTTACTAAAGCATAAGGTACATGGCATAGTAAACTTGGAGTTTACGAGTACTACTAATTTTATTAGTTGGCATGAATAATTTGGTCATCCCAAAGATGTGCATACTGAGTAATGGACATACATTGAAAAACTAGAAGATTCTTCAAGAATTCATTACGGTGCTTGTTCTCGTGATAAAGTTTATTGGATCAACTAAAGTTGGGACTAAATCCCTAAATTCTGAAAGGTATAAAAAGTGAATATGAGCTCATTCACCTATCACGTGATATGATAAAAAGATGCATCAATAAGATAATCACATGTGCGTTTGTTGTCAACTTGCAATTTGACATTCACAAAATTATTTGTGCAAGATAATTGAGCTAAAAGCACAACTTTCAGAATATGAAATCAAGATAATTCATCTTGATAATATTGATAAATATATAAGATGATGTGACATTAAATGTCTCATATAGTGAATCATTGCGTATGAAAATAAAGTTTCATATGTTGATCTGAAATATGATATTACATACAAAAGTAATTGTATGAATCAAACCACTAAGTTATGATTAATTTTTCTATTAATTGGTTTATGGTCAGGGACCAAATAGTTTTCATCTGATAATTTTGATGTGCAATATATGATTAATGAATATATTTTGATATGTGGTATATAATCAATGAATATACTATGATGCACAAAGATAGATTCTCAAAAGATTGAGATATATGTTAGTTTGTCTAACATAAGGGGGAGATTAGAAGCAACACAAAAGTTGTAAATACTCCTATTGAATGTCCCTTAAGGATAAAGTCTATGACATGCATGAAGCATGATAAATTAATCAATTCTACATAAAATAATCCTTGAAAAAGGGGAAGGATCAAAGAATCAAAATGATCATAATAAGAAGACAATGTGCTCTTGGAGAGCCTACGACATAACACTTTATGAAACCTCATGAGAGGGGTAGCTACCTAAAAATAATGAAGTGATGAGATCTCAATAAGTTTGTGGTATTGTGAATCAATGCAAAATGGTATATCGTTGACGATATATTTGATACAATAGCACGCAATATTGTAAAAGATTATGAGAATATGGATTCTACATCTATTAAAGTATGCTTGTGTAGAAATAATTATCAAGTGAAAAGTGGAATGATGCATCTTGGTAAGCGTAAAGCTTATTTGACTTGCAATCTAGGCACTAGAAGATGTCATACATCTAATATTGAATGTTCTTACTTGACAAAATTGATATGAAAATATCCAATGGATTCAAAATCTAAAGCATATACAAGTTTTTGGAAAACTTGTTTATTATCCTCATAAGGATTAAATAGATTCAAAATGCGTAGAGCATATACAAGTATTATTATGCAAGTTGATGACTAGAATTGAAACTCTTGGCAATAAAGTTGAAGTAAGGAACTTGCAGAAATCTTTGACCCTAAAGGGAAGATTTATAAAAGCAGATAGAAGAAAACATACTTTGTCAAGGTTTTTCTACACTCATAAGCTCCCAAGAATGGTGATATCAACATGCAAGAGGTCTGTTCAAGTAATATTATTGTTGATTTATTCACCAAGTCTCTACCAAC